ATTATTATTATTATTATTAATTATTATTATTATTATTATTAATAATCATCATTATTATTAATTATTATTATTATTATTAATTGTTATACTATTAATTATTATTAATTATTATTATTATTATTATTATTGTTATTATTATTATTACTATTATTATTATTATTACCATTGTTTTTCGGAGCTTCTGCCATTTCTTTCTTGATGTAAGGACGGAGCTCTCAGATGTTTTCAAGATCTGTGATTTCTTCTCTCCAGACTATTGCACGCATAATTCGAAAAATCAATCATCCATTTGCGCCACTTCGTCTTCGACCAACACACAGTAAGGCCCTCGTAGCTTTTTGTGTAAGTCTTATAAATCGGCATGTTCCGCTCTTTTTCGTTGATTAATGATTGCGCATCGTATATTATCAGTTGTCTAGGTGCTGCAGCTAGGATTCATTCATATTTATCACAAGAATAATGCTGATGATTTGCTTTACTATAACAAATTGCAAATCATATGAGATTTCTTTGTTCAAAACTTAAAATTTTAACCGATGTGGTTATCAGAGCGAATTCGCTTTGACGAATGATCATTAAGATGAAAAAAATTGTATAGGAAATGCGAAGATTGATGTTTTGAAATACTTTATTACACCGGGATGTGCAATAATGATGTGATTAATATGAGAAGCTTGCATAACAATATGGAAAAGGTTAGGTTGAATGTCACTATTATGTGAGCATATTTCCCTTGTATATTTTTCTACTTTTTTCATCCTTTTGTTTAATATGCTAAACATCTAATAAATTAACAATACTTTTTATATCTTGCATCATTATGTCGTTTTGTTGTGACTGGAAAAAAAAAAAAAAAAACAATTGATTGAGTCAAAAACAATTGATTGAGTCAACCCACAGAATCGTAAAATGATGAGTGGTATCAGTTTTGCTATCAAGTTCCACTGCGATCACTTAACCTTCATAAATTATCGTTACATAAAGACTTTCATGCTAATTTATACTTCTCGTAGCTACCGCAAGGAAATAGTTTATATGTTGCATTTTTAGCAATAATTTAAGGATCGAATAATAGTATCCTTACTAATATGTTCCGTTTTCTAGATGTATTGCTACAAAAGATACATAGGTTTTTTAGCAATCATATGATATATATGTTGAAAATGCATACATAACCGGAAAAAGTCAGATGATGTTATATATTTTTTCCGGTCTAGATAATTTTTATGGTACGATTATGCTATCGATAATACATGAGAACAATTCTCAAGTGACATGGATATAATCATAAATGTGCCTGAATCATAAAGTCGAATTATATTGGAACATTGAAAAAGGTAGGATTATTAAAATATTCAAAAAAAAAAAAAAAAAAAAAAAATTTCTTTTCTATCACGATAAATAATCCGGATTTTTATACATCATCATATATCATACAGCAATATAATTCACATTTATGTTATTAACATTCAATATATACAAAAAAAAGCAAATGTTTACAATCATTGCAAAACTTATCAATAATCTATTTTCTAATTTATTTGATCATATCAGTATCAGTACTTATCAGTAATCTATCTTTTAATTTATTTGATTAATTAAGCGAAGTAATGATGGTATAATTTAACACATACTTCAATGTAAACATATATGCTGATCCTATGTCACATGCTTGCAATTATAACATATTGCACACTTTAAATCTTCTTATCAATCTATGTTGATGATAAGAGATGTGCAAAAAATTTTGATAAAATTTAAATTGATGATTTAAAACGAATTTATAATTAATTAACTACTTTAAAAAATTTTCGAAAATACTTGTTACTTTAATTGATATTGATAATGATTTCTTCAAAATTTCAAAAAAAAAGATAACTATATTTTTAACTATTTGAAAAAGATGACTAGTGATTACTATGTTTTTTCTTTTCCATTATATTTACTTCATTTTTTTCCCTCCATATTAGAAGTTAATGTTGATAATAATCCAATAATTATTGATAGTAACCTACTTTAATAGATTTACTTTAATGATAATGCAAAAGTATGCAATTGTAGACTAAATCAATTCAACAATTAAACAATAAATTGAGCTTTTCGTTATGGAAGGAAAAGTGAATGATTGTAGTGATAAGAAAAGGAGTGAGTATATATATATATATATATATATATATATGTCACAGGCACATTATGTCTTCAAATTCTTCTATTTGGGCTACGAATTCAACGAATTCTCGATAAGTTTTATATCATTTATTATCACTTAGGTCCATATCATTTATTTGAGCAATTCCATACATTCATTCGTATCATATACCGTTATCCTGTTCGTTTCATATCAGTCGTTCCGTTTTTACGGATAAATAATTCTTCGTATTTGCTAATCCATTCCTGAGATGTGATTTTGGCGTTTCATTTCTATTAGGTGATTCTCTATTTAATGTGCTGCAACAAGTACCATTAAACGGTTCCAGAATACATCTCTATGCTAAAAGATCATAAATCATCGTTTTACATTAAGAGGTAAATTTTTATAATATTCATATTAAGGTACCATTAATTATCAATATTACCTTTACTTTCCTCATTCCAAAAAAAGTGGCACCAACCTTTTCAACTTTTTGTAAAAGAAAATTTTGATCATTAATGTGCTCGATAATTAAAACAATTCTTAACTGATCGTTCAATGATCAGATTTAAAGGATTATTCAATGATTAAATTTAATTTGATCACTTGATGATCAAATTTAACTGATCTTCTAATCTTTTGATGATCAAAGATAACTTAATCATTCAATGATCAAATTATCAATAATAAAAGTAAACTTATTGAAATGTCATTAAATACAAACCCAGCAGAATTGTACGTCGAATTGTATGATTTACGTTGCATTGAGTTAATACGTGAAATTGTTGTACCAAAGACATTTAATGAGACACTAAAACGAGGCGTTTGTGTTTGCGCTTTTTTCCTCTTTGTTAGCCAAAAAAATAAAAGTGGATTCCAAATGACCGTTGACATTGCAATTACATGAGCTACTAATGGCCAAAAAAATGGTTGTTCCAGGAGGAATGATGGTTCCAATCCTGAAATAATAACAAATATGATCATTTCCATTTTTCAATCATTATCATTATTCAAAATGTGCACTTATCTTATCAGTATGATTAAATTACATAAATGATAATTTGTGAATCAAAGAGTAATGAAAAGAAAAGAAAGAAAGAAATTGCAATTATTGGATTCATTTGTATTTTAAAGCTATTTAAAATTTTTGTATTTTCATGCTAAATTATAAACGGGAAAAAATAAAACTTACTGAAATCTTTGAGGACATTAACGACAGTAAGTGGTAGCCAACAACCAATAAATGCAATTACCATACCAATAAGTATATAATTAACCTATAAGTAGGAAGTATATAATTAACTCGTGAGTTGTAGTGATTAAAAAAAAGAAAAAATTAAATTAATCTTTTCAATCTTTCTATTTTTCCTTTTCAAAATTTGAAATTCTGATCAGTAAATCAGTATATAATTTGTAGTAATTAATTACTTAAAATATTTGACAATTACTTTCCTTAATTTGTCAGATTAGTATTTCTAAATAAATTATCCATTGTTAAATTCATTTTTTTTTTTGCATAAAATTTTATCATAATAAAATTTCATATGAAATTCATCGTTTTCCAACATTATTGATAAGAAATACATCATCAGCTCTGATCTTTCTAATCTTATCAATCAATCAATACTGAAAATAAATTTTTAAATAATTCTTCTCCTCTACTAACTCTTTTCCTTCGATTTGTTGCTTCTTCACGTTGAGCAGTTGATAAGCTTTTACGGAATTGTACATTTTGAATAATCATATCACTGGCTACTTTTGCTAATATTCGAGTATAGCAATAAGTGATAATTGTTAATGGAATAACAAACTAAAAATCATTTCATTAGTTATTTTATTATGAAATGAAAAAAATGAGATTAGCTTTAATGATAATAATTTATTATGATGATAATGCTATAGTAGTACTTTTACTACTGGACAAATGGACAAATGCGCCAAATTTAACCTGCAATAAAACAACAGCTGATCCATAAAGACGTCGAGGTGTTTCACCATTCCAATTAATTTCATCACAAAAAAGGCCACAAAATGGTGCGGTATTATTTGGTACGTAATATGCGCCATCAACAAGCTCATAGCTCATAAGATATGGTATATTGATCATTGTACTGACCACCCAGATAAAAGCAGTAACTAGACTTGCTTGACCGATGGATACTGGTGCACGAATCGGACCCATAATATGCACAAACTTATCGATTGCTATAGCTGTTAAACTCCAGCTAAAATTGTACAAATGTTATTTTAGTCTTAATTATAGTAATTTTTTTTTTAAAAAAAGCTCTTATCTGGTAATCGTATAGAAATAGAAAATCCGGTTATACTATATTAATCAGGTAATCTTTCATTACTGATCAAATATTTCAAAGTTTTATATCATATCGTGTAAAATTAAATGAATTACAATAATTTTCTTTTAACCTTAATTACAATAATCTAATAGTGTAACAAGAAAAAAAGCTCTTATCCGGTAATCGTATAAAAATAGAAAATTCGGTTATACTATACCTCTAATCAGATAACCTTTCATTACTGATCAAATATTTTAAAGTTTAATATCATATCGTATAAAATTAAATGAATTCCAATCATTTCCGCTCAGATGCAATTGAACATCTCACATCATTTTAACAGTATTTATCAAAAGATAATTTATCACTTTTAAATATAGCGCATCCAGAATACTGCCTAATTTATCACTGAAAACTAAACAGTTACACTTAAAATGATCATTTACAAGGTAAAAAAAAAGTTATCCTAATTGATTTCAATCTTAACTGATCATTTGAACTTGTTAATAATTTATCAAAATGGATGATAGATAAAAGTTCGATGAATTAGAATTTACAGTTGATAACTTAATGATAATCCTCTTTTATTTACATTTCCTTTATTTATCTACAAAGAATGTTGAAATATAAATATATCAGAAGTAATATAATATTTCTAGATTATTCTATTAGATATTGAGGAAAAAAAATGGATTGTTTTTGTTATCAGTGTGATAACTAAGTTACCATTCATCCACTGATAATAACTTCATTTTTTTTTTACTTAGAAATGTTTAATCAACTAATAATGCAACTTGTATACTTAATTGCATGTGGATGCATCATCTATATCTGAAATGGTAACATCTATGGGAGTTAATTAATTGTTAATTAATTAGGGTGTTAATTTATTTTTAATTTTATTTGACAACTATACATTTCTTATTGCAAAGTAAAACGTATTAATGATATCCTTCCATTTTTGTGATCATTTAAATGTGAAATTTTTAAACGACAATTTTTAACAATACAAATGATGCCAATAAAAGTGCCAATAAAAAATTTTCCATTTTAGTATTTTAAAATTTTACTTCTTTTTTTTATTAAAGCAGAACTTATAAAAGATATGAGAAATGGAAAAATCGTGGAGGAACGATTGGAGTAGAAATCTATCAACCGGACCGAGTACCGGTAATTATTGATTTGATTTTTACATTACAACTGTAAGAAAGAATGAAAGTGAAAATAGGGATATATTGGAGATTTCTGTAGGGAGATTATATTAAATTTATCGAACACATCATTCTCTCAAAATTACAGATCAAAGGTCATTAGGAATTTCAAAATCAATCAGCTTGCTATTAATGAAATATGATTTCACAGCATCATTGTACTATAATAGTTCTCAATTCAAGATCTTTTAATATTTCATACCCAAATTTCTTACCCATCCTTCAATATTTCCTACCCAAATTCTTACCCGTCCTTCAATGTTTCTTACCCTAATTCTTATACACCCTTCAATTCCTCAGTAATATCAGGCTAGGCAAGAAAAAGGAGTATTCGTTTTCATAATAATTTATGCTATAAATAGTTCCTACCTTCGTTCTTTTTAAAATTTCATTATATCGTGGAAAATGTTTTCAAGAAATATTATATATATATATATATATATATATATATATATATATATATATATATTATTATTATTAA